GTTTAAAAAATAAACCAAAACCTGGTACACCAAAAAAACCTGGTCGTCGAGATATCTAAATTTCAACTCTCATCATCCCCTGTCTCAAAAGAAATCAGTAGTTATCGGACTCGCTGATAGAGCTATTAGATTATCCGATCCTATCAATAGACCTCAGGCCATTAAAAACGCAAAAACAGCACTTACACTTAATTCATACCCACACCACCTTATCGACAACACTTTCAAATCGCGACTGCATAAATTTTACAATAACAATAATAATAATAAAACCAACACGGTAAAGAAAAACTATATGTCTCTCCCCTATATAAAAGGATTATCAGAACAAATAGCAAATCTTCTGTCTAAACATAATATTACGGTTGCTCATAAAGGTCACAATCTTTTGAAAAGGAATTTTACAAGATTGAACACAAAAACCCCTCTATTAAAAAGATCACATGTTGTATATGAAATTCCCGCCGTATATGAAATGCTCGAATTGTGATGGAGTTTATATTGGACAAACCAGTCAACTACTTAATTCAAGAATACGTTCCCACAAATATGACAAAAAAACTCAACCGCCCTCACAAAACATGAAAACGAAAAAAATATAAATTTGATTTTGAGCAAACCAAGATCCTAAAAAGTGAACCCAATAGGAAGAAGAGAGAGCTTCTAGAGTCTATACAAATAAAAAAAAATAACGCAATAAATGATAAAAAAGATGTCAAAAATTTGAACAAAATATATTTTAACTTAATTTAAATATACATAAAAAGTCAATCTCAGAACGCCTATGATGTTAAAATAACCGATTGTTTAAACGTAACATCAATAAACAACACATTAGATTTAAAATACATTTTACTTGTAGTGACTTAGTGGGTATGTCCTATGTTTTAACATTATTTTAAAGGTCTATTCTCATTAGACGTGCCAGGCCCGTGCTCGTCACCTGACCGGCACATGCCATGCTTTTGGTAAATATTCACACTATTCGCGCTCGTAGCATGCTTTCAGCGGTATTTTGCACAGGCAGTCGGTTAGACGTGTCGGTGGATAGTTGTGCAGTTGTAATGTTTTCCGCGGCAACTTTAGTAAAAATTGCATTTTTTACTTTATATGCCGAAGAAGAAGAGAAAGAATATGAGAGATAAAGTTAAAAAAGGAGGTTTTGGATATATCCAATGATTAGGAAAAGAAAAATAGAAGGAGGATACTATACCTTGTATAAAGAACTCATGGATAATGAGTCAAAATTTTATATATATTATAGAATGTCAATTGCCGAATTTCAGCAGAATTACCAGCAGAATGCGATTTTTAACAAATTGCCAAAAACTTTTGGTTGTCGTGGTGGAATTTTCCCAAGGGCATTTTACGATAAACCATTTTTGCCCTTAAAAAACTCACTCCCTCCATTTTCCGAACTCAGGTCGCCCGTAAATTATTTTTTCTTTTATTTATGGCATATCATCTTTCTTTTCCAACGAGTTTGACCCTACTATTTTTTTTTTGTTTGAAATATTATCGGCAGTGCTCTATTACCTAGATAAAATATAGTGTTTTATTTACCTATTTTAATATTTTCTCCAATATCCCACCATACCTGAGACTTATGTGCTGCATCTGCATACAGTCGAATCATAAAATCGTATAATTCACTCCTCTCACGAACTAATTCTATTAAAAATTCATCAGTATCATGTGAAAATAATTTTTTCGCACCATTTTGCCTGTCGAAACTCGTCTGCAGTATTCACACTTATTGTGAGAATAGGCCTTAAGGCCTATTCTCACAATAGTGCCTGGCATGTGCTCGGCTTGTGCCCTGCTCGAGACCTGCAAAATTACTTTAACGTTATTTAAATGGGTTTAGCGACGGTACGTTCTCACTACAAGTGCTAGAAGTGGGAACGGTCCGTGCCCGGCATCGAACAATCTTTTCAAACAATATTTTCCTAGCCCATGCCTGGCACATTCCTACATAGTGTGAATACTTCAGACGAGTTTCGACAGGCAAAATGGTGCGAAAAAAATTATTTTCACATGATATTGATGAATTTTTAATAGAATTAGTTCGCGAGAGAAGTGAATTATACGATTTTATGAATCGACTGCATGCAGATGCAGCACATAAGTCTCAGGTATGGTGGGATATTGGAGAAAAAATTAAAATAGATAAATAAAACACTATATTTTACCTAGGTAATAGACCACTGCCGATAATATTTCAAACAAAAAAAATAATAGTAGGATGAAACTCGTTGGAAAAGAAATATGATATGACAGAAATAAAAGAAAAACTAATTTACAGGCGACCTGAGTTCGGAAAATGGAGGAAGTGAGTTTTTTAAAGGGCAAAAATGGTTTATCGTGATTTCCTAGAGCAAGTCGAACGACATATCTACTAAAGCAAGTAGAACTACAGAAAATATTGTTTGAAAAGATTGTTCGATGCCGGGCACGGACCGTTCCCACTCCGAGCACTTGTAGTGAGAACGGACCGTCGCTAAACCCATTTAAATAACGTTAAAGTAATTTTGCACGTCTCGAGCAGGGCACATGCCTGGCACTATAGTGAGAATAGGCCTTAATTGTGACGTCTAATTGTTAACACCAAATCTTTACATGCTTGGTAAGTCAAAAGTTTATTTTTTAAACCATATTATGTCTGTCATAGAATGTTTTTTTTTTAGTCAATATATGTTCTTGAAAAAGGCATGGATTTCCTGCCGAAACGTCGGAAAAAATATATATAAAAATGTCTTAGTATCAAACTAAATTTTTTTTATGAACCTAAACCCAAGAGAATCCACTAAAAAATATATATTAAGGTTCAAGAACTAAACTCAAACTATATATATATATATATATATATATATATATATATATATATATATATATATATATATATATATATATATATATATATATATATGGGTTAAAAGTATACTTTGCTTCAAGATCTTTCATCCACGCATTTGTTGAATGTATGTTTTCTTTGAATATTTTGTTTTTTCAGACCTTAGTGTTTTTCCAGATATTTTACTTTGTTTTTATTCTTATATTTTCCTTCTTTTTCCATCATGTGTTACCTAAGTTATAGAGGAAATCTAGATTAGTCGTATTTTTAAAACCAGGCTAGTGTTGCAAACCGAATCAAAAAAAAATTGACCGGTATCCCTATCCTTGCCCTCTTTTTAATGTTTTGTACGAGTGACACTCAAGAGGCGGCTTAATCTGGCATTCTTTAATAAGAAACTCTTGCCAAAATAGGCTACTTTTAAAGATGTTTTGCTACAGCCAAATTTTGAAGCTTGCCAAAGTAGGGTACTTTTAAAGATGTTTTGCTACAGCCAAATTTTGAAGCTTGTACCACATTTCGAGAATATCTTTGATTAGCAGCGAAAATAACTAGCGTGGCTTAGATTTACTTGACTCTTGCATAATGGCACTGTTAATTGCTAAATATTATTAGTAAAAGTGTACATGTGATATTGTCAAGTACTTCTGGCCGATATGGATTTTTCTGAATTGTCGGTTCTACATTACCTTGAAATCTAAGAACCATCTGTATAACTGAGAAAATGGCTGCGTCCACAAGAAGGTGTGCTTGCATCTCTCGTTTATAATATTCACACTAATGACTTATCATGTCATCATCGTGCATAAACGTTTTATTTATGTTGATGACTTTAGCTGCTCAGGAGAGATGTTTTCGAGAATTAGGAAATATAGTCCACGCTAGAAGTGGAAGCGGAATACCACAGTAATAATGAGCTACGCTCAAAACCCTAAGAAAACCCAAGTACGCACTTAGGATCTTAACAACGGAGATGGTAGGAGAAAGTTAAATATAATATAGTGAGGAGAATTCTAGAGAACTGCACAGAAACAGAACTACATTCTTACATTTAAAATCCACTGCAAAGACAAAAAATAAAACATTTTCACAAAAAATTATTTCTTAATATATAGCATATTAGCAAATTGTACTTTAAAAGAACTTCAGCATTGGCTTTATGTTTCTCTGCAGCTTTAAGTCACAGAATATTGCCTATAATAAGAATTAGCCCCCCATCGGTAAGAAAGTGGTTTCTGAGATAGAAAAGAAGAAACAAGAGACAAGACAGTCAAGGCATTTAACAATATGGAAATCCCGTAGAAGTTTCATGGGTTCGACTGCTCTAATTAAAATCACTACTGAATGACGTCATTTGCTATGAGAGGCTTTTCTGGTGACACTGTGTATCCAAAAGAAAAGACATTTACAGCTTATCGATTAGCATATGGCAGTCACGTACTAAGACTAAGCACCGGCATTTCGCAGTGTAAGTAAAATTTAAAACGATGGAAATTTTCATATGATAGGGACAATCGTGGAGAAACAAAACCCTCAGCTCTTATTGGTATGTACGAACTAAAGACAATAATATGAGAATAAAACAAGATTTGAGAATGAATGATCCGTCTCGGAAGACGTAAAATCTGAGAGAACATCCGCTCTCAAAGAGAAGTCTTCATCAATTTTCTTGAATTTCATAACATCTTTTAATTGTGCCCGTTTGGCTCCTTGGGATATTTCTAATGGTATCGCCTGGAAAGTTCCATTATATATTCTTCTAGCGGTAATTTAAAATATGCATTCATAATTGCAAATTGTATTTATAAAATTGGACGAGGTTATACCCTACTCAACTGAAAATTCTAAACCTATCGTCTTTTTTCTCCCAGACATTGGCATTAAACTCCACTACTAACAGTGTTATTCCATTTTTTTTTTGTATATTTATAAGCCTTATACTATAAGTATGTATCGAATTTCTCTATTTAATCTTCAGTAGCCGACGTCGGAACAATTATAAAATGTTTCATTCAAACGTTTAAAAAACTAAATAATAAACAGAAGACATAACGTTAATGTTTTCATTTCACTATTGTCCATTTAATCTAATTATAAATTTTGAATGCAACACTATTACAAAAAAATATACAACTGTAGTTTTTTTAATAATACTATTATTTAAACAGGATTTTACATCTGTAAAACAACAAAAATAATTATACATTAATTGTTTCTAAAAGTCCTTGGGTTTTTTCTTAAGTAAGTAATAATATCTTACAGTTTTCAAATAAATTACTTCAACTACCAAATAGTATGTGCCAATAGAAACAGACTGTACTAAACCTCACAAAATTATAATCTCTAAAGATAAAGTCACCAACAAAGTTACAATAAAAATGCGGGCACATGTTTCTTGAGAACTAAAGCAACATAAATGGTAAACAATCAATGCAATACTTGTAAAATTATTACTGGTTTCTTTTATACAGTCCACTTCTATGGTTATTCGTCTATACAAGAACCAAAATATACAACAAACTCCTCGGTACTATAATACGCATTTTAAAAAATATACAAAATATAAACAGTAAGAATTATATGTATATTTCGATTGGATTCATTTTACCATTATCACTCAAACTAAATATTTGCACAACTAAACATTCAGTAGCCTACATTAATAGTAGCTGTTTTTTCAGTCTCTGTGAAATCCGCACTGTCTACTTCAACTAGTCCATTCTCATCAGCTTTGGACAAGATATCACAGATCAGCGGTGACTCTACTCCCAAGATATACTGGCACACCTTAGGTTCAAGTAAGTATAGTGAAACTGCATTAGAACTACTAGGATTTTGTAGACACTTCAACTTGACTTCTGTCTGTCTTGGTTTGCCAGTTTCTTTGCAAATGGAACCTCCAGAGTACAAGTGAGATAGCTGTTTTCTTTGAGCTACTGGTTTTGGTCGTTTGTGTGGATTTTCAAGTATCCAGTCAAGATGAGCTTGCTTGTGGAACACACCTAGATTTATGGACACTCTTTTACCATCTTTTTCCACATGATACTGCTCTACTGACTTTCCATAACAAAACTCAAACTTCCACCAACCTGTACCGCCATGCAAACAATTCTTTCCTCTTAAGAAGTTTTCTACAGGTGCTGGGTCTAAAGGTTTAGATTCTGCATTACTTACAGGTTCATCTTTATCTTTTTCCAATTTTATGAGTTCTACTTTAAATCTATCTAACTCTGATCTTCTTCTTAACTGTGCTGAATCGTAATTAAGTTTAGCCAGACTGTAGGGCATTTTGTAGCTCCCATCTATAGGCACACAATTTAATTGATTCTCCCCTGATTCTTTAGGTTTATATCTAGGGTGGGCACAGAGCAAAGGTGATAAAATTATGATTTCATAGACACAAGTTTGTGATTCATCTACAGAATAAATCTCGTGCTTGCCATGAATGTAGCAAACATAAAGTACTTTTGTCATGCGAGGTTTGTTGTTGTTCAAACTACATTGAGTGCCGTTGTCCATGATGATTTCATAATAAGGTAAATTAACATTATCAATTTTTTTAACTGGAGGGTCTATATGTTTGTGTTGTTCTTCTGCTTTTGCTCGAGCAAGGAGTGTTTCATAATAATTGTTGTCCCACTTTCCAATTAAATACTCTTGTAACTTCATTGATTTTCCTTCTCTGTCTTCATGATATTGTCTGATTTTCCTACCATGACAGACCTGAAAAATTAGAAACCTTATAAATATACAAAGTAAGATTAGTAGAATAAAACAGTTGGACAAGATATAAGAGTTTCAAACAAATACTGTATAAAAATTAATAAATGGTAGACACAATTATGTACATCATATATACAATAATAATTCATACATATGCAATAACGCAATAAATACATAAAACATAAATGTTTAGAGAATAATAACAGAAATTATAGTCAAAGTATGAGTATTAGTCAGTAACTTCAGTTAAAACTCAAAAACAATTATTTTCTAAATATTTGCCACATTAATAAACTAGTTTGCCACCTACTAGGTGATAATAAAATCAAAAAGAATCGTCGATTATCGAGCTATCCGCAAAGACACAAATATAACATTAAGTGGTCATTAAATGTAACACTGTATATTTTTCTTCTGAGGTAAAGGTACATACATTATGTATACAATGAATAATTCGACATATTATCTTCTTGAGTTGAAACGGTTTGTTAATATAATAAATGAATTATATGGATGGACATAATATTTGATATAAAATAATAAAACACAAATTTCAAACAAATTTAAAATAAAAGCAACATGGTAACATGTTTGCTTTTATTTTAAACTTTTTATGGCATCCATATTTCCTAGTTCGAATCAATAACCATTTGTCTGAATCTAAATTACAGAAAAATGTAATTCCACAGGGCCCGAATATAAGCTTAGCGCTATTTTTAATTGCTATTAACAATGTTTTGTCATACTGCAATTGCACAGTTAAATTTTTTTTTTGTATGCTGATGATCTGGTAATTCTAGCAAGAAATAAAAACATATTATCTGCTCATAATCGTATTGATGCAGCTCTTAAGTCAATAGAATTGTGGTCTAACAATCTTGGGCACCAGTTTTAAACCACAAAAAAAAACTATACATTTTCCACGAAAATCAAATCATCAAAGGCTCCCAAATCTATTTTTATACAATTCTCCTATCCATCCATCCAATGGCACTACAGCCCAAGCCGGGCCTTGGCCTCCTTCATTAGACCTCTCCAAACATCTCTATTTACTGCTGTTCTTTTCCATGAACGCGTTTTTAGGAGATTTTTGGCATCCTCATCTACCTCGTCTTCCCATCTCTTTTTTGGTCTTCCAACAGGTCTTTTTCCTTGCATTCTTGCGTTTAGTAATTTTCTGGGGATTCTGTTCTCATGCATGCGGGCCACATGCCCTGCCCATCGTAATCTCTGCAGTCTAGTGTATTGTGCTAGTGTTGGTTCAGTGTATTGTTCGTATATTTCGTTATTATATCTAATTCGCCAGTTGTTATTTTCCTTTATTGGACCCAGTATTCTACGCAATATTTTTCTTTCGAACACGTCTAATGCATTGGTAGATTTCTGTGTTATAACCCATGTTTCACACCCATAACTTACTATGGGTCGGATTATTGTTTTATATACCCGGAGTTTTGTTTTCCGGTGTACGTCTCGCGATTTGAATATGTGGCCCATCGCGAAATAGGCTTTGTTTGCCAGCATAAGCCTTCTATTTATTTCCGGTTCTTCTTCATTATTTTCGACCAGATCCATTCCTAAATACGTGAATCTATTCACGTATTCTATATCGTCTATAAATTGTTGTTGTTGCGCCTGTCTATTTGATCTGGTTTGTATGAGTAGTTTTGTTTTATTTGTATTTATTGTTAGCCCTACAACTTCTGAACTCTGTTTCAACTGAACGTAGGTTTCTTCTGCCGCAGTCTTTGTTCTGCTCATTATGTTTATGTCATCTGCGTATGCTACTAATACAATACAATTCTCCTATAGAATATACAAAATAAATAAAATACCTAGGGATGCAACTGGACTCAAAACTAAGTTGGACAAGTCATATACACTCGCTAAGAATATCATGCCAAGCTGGACTAAACATTATGAAATCTGTATCACATAAAAATTGGGGAGCAGATTTTCCAACTCTAATGAATTTATATAGTGCTTTAATTAGATCAAAACTGGACTATGGATGTGTTGTGTATAACACCACAAATCAAATATTGCTCATAACTGTGGACAGTCTACTCTGTGAAGCTGGAGAGCCACCTTTAAACTTAAGAAGAAAATACTTAACTCTATTGTATGTCTCGAATATAAAATCTAACCCAAAGAATCCAGCTCTTCATCATGCTGTTGCTAACAGGTTCCAGGAGGTCTATCAAAAAAGAAATAGGGGTCTTGTACCTTTCTATGAACGAGCTAATTGATACTTATTAGATTTTAATATTGATCTACCTCCCATTTATCCTACCTGTGAATTTATGTTTTCCTTGGATTATTCCCTCACCACTTTGTAACCTTAAACTTACAGCGTATAACAAAAATAATGTGATACCCAATTTTTTTAAAACTCACTTTCTCCATGTTATTACACAGTATAAAAATTATCATTTTATATACACAGACGCATCTAAGACCATAAATGGAGTAAGAGTATTCTTTGTAATATCAGATAAACATTCCATCTATAAATTGTTTCCTATGACAAGTATTTTTACAGCAGAAATATTTGACATCAATAAGGCCCTAACCTTTATTCTAGAAAAAAAAAAACTTCCCAAATCCCTTATAATATCCGATTCACTTAGTTGTCTGACATCAATTTCTCAGATTTATCCCTCTCATCCAATATTACAGCAGATTAAGTTAATTTTATACCATATATACCAAAAAAATTTGACAGTAGAGTTCCTCTGGGTACCGTCGCACGTTGGAATTGATGGTAACGAAAAGGCAGATAGTCTAGCTAGGTCTGCAGTAACTATTACAGCCGCATCACTTGAAAATCTAACAGTGCATTTAGATTTAAAACATTACTTAAAATCAAGATTGCATCATGTTTGGCAAAACCAATGAAATAGAAGTACCACTAAATTGATAGAAATTAAATCTTCCATCCTTCCATGGAACTTCTGGCCTTCAAAGCGACAACATCATATCCTAATAACACATCTCAGATCAGGACCCACTTCTACAACACATGAATACTTGTTGAAGAGAGAAGAGGAACCAGTGTGTTTTGTTTGTAAATGTAAAGTTACAGTGAAGCATATTTTGATTGACTGTCCAATATAAGTACTCAGTTGAAAGACTATATCACCACATTCCAAAAACATTAAAAGAACTTCTAGGAGAATCTAAATACGTAGTTGACTTGATAGAATTCTTGAAATCCATAAACCTTTTTAATAAAATTTAATACAATACATCAATAATTAAAATACACTGCGCTCCAAAATTAACGCATAATTTTAAAATTCTTATTTTGAGTTGTAATGAAAAAAGTTTGTTTGTTCTTTTCTGCTTTATGGTTGTTTTAAAACATCTTAAATAAAAAACTTTTCTCTTTTTACAAAAAATATATTGAAATTAACAATATAACATCATAAATCTAATTATCTAAACAAACAACTGATCTAAACAAAATAACATAATAAATCAATGACGAAATTAAAATTTTTAAAGTTAAAGAAAATACTAGTACCGTGTACTATTATCGAGTATTGCCTCCTCTGGTATTTATTACTGCTTGACAATAATCTCTCATACTGATAATAATCGTTCTAATTTCTTTTTGATCAATTTGATCTTTGATTGATTTGATCTTAAATTACAACAAACCACAAAAAACTTCACCTAATGTGTTTGGGGCATTAGGTAGTTGTCGTAGTCGTCTGCCTATGATGTCCCAAACATGTTCTATTGGGTTGAGGTCAGGACTTCTCGCAGGCCAATACATGGCATTAATTCCAACCTCCCGGCGATACTGCTGCACAATTCTTGCCGTGTGTGGCCTGGCATTATCTTGCATAAGCATGAAATTATCCCCAATAAATGGTGCAAATGGCACGACATGCTCTTCTAAAATGTCTGTTATATACCTCTACGATGTAAGCCGACCACGATCTATTTTAACTATTTCCGTACGAGCCTCTTAATTAATCCCATCCCACAGAATTATCGAGCGGCAGCCATACTGTACAGTCTCTACGGTGTTACACTGTGCGTAGCGTTCCCCAGGCCTTCTATACACTCGGTTTCTCCTGTCATCAGAAAAAAGACAGTACTTTCATTCATCGGTGAACAATATTCTTCTCCAATCGTCATTGTTCCAATCAACATGGTAACGAGCAAAATGCAATCTTTGCCTTCTATGGTCTCTGGTCAATAATGGGCCAATTGGTGCCCTTCCAGTGTGTAGGTCGTTTTTGTCAAGTCTTCTTCTAATCGTATTTTGGCTGATTCTAAAGTTATAACGATTAAAAAATTCATTTTGTAGAAAAGTACTGGTAACAAACCTTTGGCTCAGTGTACAAGGTGTCAAAAACCGGTCTTGATTAGGAGTTGTAACCCTTCTACGGCCTTGGCCGGGTCTTCTCGAGTTACTTCCAGTAACAGAAAAACGTGTTAACACACTCTTGAAAAGGTTGACTGGTTGACGTTAAAAACTTCAGCGAGTTCTACTTGAGTGTATCCTTCTTCGCAAAGAGTAACGATTCTAAAACAGTCACTGTCTGACAGATTTTGATTTTCTTGCATCTGGTGGTTCATTTCAAAGAAAAACACTTAATAAACTTGAAAAACCACTTTAAACATTCAGCACAACGTAATCCAACCCAACTAAATTTGAAATAAAATGAAGCACAATTGGGATGTTTTTAATTTTTTTACAAAAAATGGTAAAAACGGCAGTGTTTTTTACCGTTCTTTCGATAAATTTTACAATATACCGGGGGTAACAATAATATATTAGCACAAAAATCAAAACATTAAAATTATTTGATTTACCAGGGTTTTTAAAATTATGCGTTAATTTTGGGGTGCAGTGTATATACTGTATACATTATTATGTATTTGATATTTTGTATATACTTATGCCTATGTAAGTCTTTCACTTTTTTATTTTTCTTATGCTAATAACCCTAAGTGGTTGAAGCAAAATAAATAAAAAAAAATCAATAAAAGGTAAATAATCAGTAATTGACACTGTTAAAGAGTGTTACAACATAAAATTCCAATTTTAGGTTTATTTATAGTAATACTATGCTCAAAACCTTATTTTGAATGTTTTAGACATTAAGAAACAATATCTGCAAATAAAACCATCTTAAATGTTAAATAGAAATTTTTTATTTAAAATAATTTAAAAGTTATAAAAAAAATCAATAATTGACACTAAAAAAAACAAAAATCAGTCTTTGACATATACATAATCAGTTGTTGACACTAGTCAAAATACTATTGAATAAGATAAGTAAGTTAGTATTAGATGGATATATTTTTCATTTTAGCCATCTACATTTATTTTTGTATTAAACTGATATTTGACCCTATCACCTGAGCCATTTATTGCAGGTTGAGGTAGTCTTTTGACAATTTGACTTACATTTATTAAGCTTATGTCTCTTTCATTAAGTCTGAACATTGTTTTTGTTTCATTGCAGTAGTTTAATGCCATGACTTCTATTTCCTCATTATGAAAAACGTCTTGAACTAAACAGACATAGTGGTGCATTCTTTTTTTGCCAGGAAACTGCACCAGTAGAAACTCCCCTTTTCGGTAACACTCTTCACTATTGATGATGCCAAAATCACTGACATCATCTACACTGATTCAATCCATTCTTCATCTTCTGAATCAGATGAACTGCCCTCTTTTCTCCTTTTTTTATTTGCCTTTTCCTTTAATTTACTTTTTTCTTTATTGAGTTCTTTAATTTTCAATTTCTCTTCTCTTTTTTTAATTCTTTCCTCAGCCCTAATTTTTTTTTGTTTTTCTTGTTTTAACTTTGTCTCTTCCTTTTTTTATGATTTGCTTTTTTATGGTACTTTGGATATGGATATGGCACTTTTTCTTTCTTTTTCCTCTTATTAGTTTTTACTTCCGGCTTTGACCAAAATAATGCCTTTTTAAATGGCGTTGGGATCACTTGTCCATCAATAACAAGTTTTTTCTTTATATTTTCAACCTTCTGCATTTTGACAGGATCAGCATTTCTGTCAGAAAATATATGTTCTTCATTATGCATGTTATTTAAGGGAGTCATGTGGCGAATCACTAGTTCAAAATCACTGTCATTTTCAGGTTCCTGTTCTTTGTTTGTATTTTCTGCTGTGTACTCTACTCGTATGCGGTTTGAACACTCTCCTTGATTAGTCGCATCTAATACTTATCTATATTCTTGTACAACTATTTCCCCTTGTCTGACTTCATTTTCATATTCTTTAGGTTTCCTTTCTACTGTGGATGAATTTTCTCTTAAATATTTTGAACACTCCCCTTGATTAGCTGCACTCAATAAACTTTGGTCTTGTCCATGATCGAGTTGTTCTTGAGGTTGTTCTATACTCATTTTTTTTAGTTTCTTGTTGACTGCGCCTCTTGGAAGATCGGTTTGAAGAGTTTTTATCTTTATCCTGCAGATTAAGGATTTTCATAATAATTTCCTTATAAAATTCATATAAGGAGGCATCTTCCTGATTTCCAGACCACATTTCTTTAGTGGCTTTAAAAGCTTCTAGTTTTTTGGGTTTCAAATATTTGTTGAGAAATTTCAGACCATTATGCAGTTCTGCTAGAGTCTTTTCACTCCCATTATTATTTTCATTATAATTATTTTCATCTTTTAATGTGCTTATGAAAAAATCAATAGCTTCTGGGTTCCAAGGTGCCAAGCCACATTTTCTAAATCCATTTTTCACATCACTCTCTGTAATTCTTTCATTTAAAACTTGCTTTAACAAAGGACAAAAGTCTTTTTTCTTTTCAGAACTGGATTTTCATAATTTTCAAGTCGCCACTGGTGAACTGTTTCTTTCCAGCCTGCTTTCAATGTCTTAGATGATTAGATAAGATTAGATAGATCAATTAAGTACTATTGATGATTCATCTAGTATAAGGTTTTAAATCTAATAACCTAAATATATATTCAACTTACCTTCTTAACACTTTTCACAAGAAATCTCGGAATTTCGGTATGAGACACAACATCAACCACAAACAAGCATCGCCATATTGGATTAGATGGCAGTAAAGATGGGCGTTATATAATGTATACGGATAAATAACACTATTACCAATAAGTATTAGTTTTCTCAATAATAGGTTACAGCAAACTGCCTATTACTTTTGTCACAGTGTAACTATAACATAAAACGCAATATTATTCAAATCAGCATTCAATATGTTAACGTGACCGTGACAATATGGAACGATGGGAATCGTTAGCTCAATCAGTAACAGAATAGGATGGTCATTGTCATCGAATTTATGATGAGCTGTATGTTTTGCCACTTAATAGCTGGGAATACCACTGTAAGCACATATGATTATTAAGAGAGAGACTATGTTTATTGTTATTATAGTATGTTATTAGAATTTGCTTGCCCTTATTCTAATGTAGTTAGTTGTAGTTAATGCAAAACTAAATTCTCAAGATATCGATACATTTTTGGCAAGGTAATGTAAGTGACATTTTTGGCGAAAATCATGTTTTTCAATTAAACTAATACTATTATTGTTAAAAAGGTACTGCCAAAGTGTAGTAAGCCTAGAATTACTTTAAACCTTTTTTAGGACAAGTAGGACAAGTTTTTTCAGTCATAATTTAAATAAGTTTAACCAGGTTGAATTAAAAATTGTTTTTTCTACAAATCGTGTTTGGTGACTTACGTTACTTTGCCAAAAATGTATCGATATTTAATAGAATAATATTATACACTAATATTTTTTCCTCTCGCCTTATATTACATAAGTTATGTATATATCTAATATTTCATTTATAATTTCTGTATAATATAGTAGTTGAATCATCTATTTTTAAGTCTCTGTCAGCTGTATATGTTTAATATTTATTTTTAACAACCATCAAATGTATGAAGAATGTTTATCACTTACGGTTGAAACAAAAATAAACTATAAATACTAAAAAGTATTCGTTTATTGAAAAAGATATTATGATTACTACAAGAAACTACAGCAAGCCAAGCGAAATGGAGCTGCTTGCAGCTTGGGTAATAGGCGACAAAAGTAATAGGTTACCGGAACCTATTACCTGTCTGTCACTGGAACAATGGAACCTATTACTACAAAGTAACCGTATTTTCTATGACTAGATGGCAGCCAGCAGCAAGGCGACACTTTAAACGTCATTCATAGATCGCGACAGGTGTTCTTCGCATTTAGAAATAATAGGAATTTATAATATTAATACATTTTTGGCAAAGTAACATAAGTCACCAAAAACGATTTGTAGAAAAAACATGTTTTTAATTCAACCTGGTTAAGCTTATTTAAATTATGACTGAAAAAAACTTGTCCTACTTGTCCTAAAAAAGGTTTTGGCAGTACCTTTTTAACAATAATATCGTTAGTTTCATTAAAAAACATGATTTTCGCCAAAAATGTCCTTACTTTGCCAAAAATGTAGTGATATTTTGCTTAATATTTGAGTTCGAGTTTGAAGTTGTCGACTATTGATTGGGTGTCAACTACTGATTGTTTACCTTACTCAATAACATAAAAGAAATATGCTTCCATAATAAAAACAACTCACTTATAGGGAGCACTTCAGAGAACTCACTTAGGGAGAGAACAAAAATTATATTTTATAGTACTTGCATCAACAAAAAGAAAATAATTTTATATTAGTCTATTAGTGCAACTCTCAAACTAGACTCTATAAAGAATATAAATAAACTAATAAGGAAGCCATATCACAGTTTTGGTATGTGTTTAAACTAAACACATAATGTATTTTAGAAGTTTTCTTTACCAGGGATCATACCGATTATTGGGACATTAAATTTTATATATTTAATATTACTTAAAGCATGTATGTTTTTACCTACCTGGTATGTCCAGTAGGACTCTAGTCTAAAAGAACATGGTGTATTTGGTGAAAACAATGGTGAAAGTATTTCAAGAGCTGTAGGGCCATCATATTTTTCTTCCAGCTCAGCTTCTTCCTCTGCAGTTGTGGGCAAAATGCACTTATATTTTTCCTTATGTGCAGAAGTGACTATAATAGATTCTCCTATTAGTTCTTCAGCATCAAGTAGTTCTCCAGGAAAATTTATATTATAGATAATGGTATCATCAAATCCTTTGATATCATTTTGGACAGCAATTTGCCAAATAAGGGTAAAAATCACAAAGGGTCTTTTCATGACTCTAGTTTTTTTACATTATCCATACGTTTGAATTTCGTGTATTTATCTATGGATTTACGTGACAGATAATCATTTGCCCTTACTTTAAAAACAAACTACATGGCCACACTGTCAATACGTCAGCAATTGTCTCATTTCTGTCTTAGACTGTTGTAGTATTTAGCCATATAAGTTTGAAGTTTTAAGTTTTTTTATCACATAAAAGTCAAACTTCTGATGAGTTTAGATATCTTATTTTTATTGCACAAAAAAGTTTACAAAAGTAATTATTACAAAATTATCTATCTAGGTTAGGGAAGAGTTAGTTACATCAGTTGTTCGGTGGTTACATATTACATGCTTTTGGGAAAGAAGGAGAATGGAGGATGGACTATCTTTGTATCTTTTAACTTAACCTTACATTTATACATAAACAGTAACATGAATATTGCTGTTGCTTGTAACCAAATGAATTATTAATTATCAGTTCATTAAAATGCCACAAAAAATTCAGATACGTCTCGCTACTCACAGGGTAAATCCATCAGTTGCTCCAAATAAAAGATATCCAAAGATATTTACTCCAGGAGAAGTTATAACTACCCAAGATGAATTTATGAGGTATAATCAAATATCTTTGCTTAATCCATTTAAATAAAGTAGATTATACGATTAATAAGTTTGCAACCAACGATTAAATTTGTATAAGGTCCCTGTTCAAATGTAAAAAAAAAGTTTATTTTACAAATGATTTTACACAAAATTATTATTTTTATTTTTAGAGGTCATGGAACATATGAAGAGAATGGAGGACTAAAAGCTTCAGTAGCAGGTGTAAGAGAACAAGTTAATAATCTTATATCAGTAAGACCTCTCAAAAGTAGGTATAATGGAGAAATAGGTGATGTTGTAGTAGGAAGGATTACAGAGGTTCAGCAAAAAAGGTGGAAAGTAGATACCAATTCAAGACTGGACTCAGCTCTGCTATTATCTTCAGTAAATTTGCCAGGTGGTGAATTGGTATGTGTTTACAACTTCTTAATAATGGCATAACAAATTTTTGAGCATGGGCACCTGTGGGTCATTAAGTGTATTAAGGGACGATTTTCACATTTGGTCCTATTGAAGATAGCTTCAAATGGGTTTGACAGAATGAAGTATTGGTGTTTCGCAGTGTTTAAATTTACATTACAAACGAAACATACACCATTAAAAGCAATAAGATATTTAAAAACTAATATTGGATGATTACGAAAAAAAGAAAAAGTAAATCGTTTTAAAACAGTTTTTAACAGTAAATAGTAAAATGTCAGTATAAATAATAAAATTTAAAAGGCATCTGTTGCAATCTGGCAGCTGGTGGTTTGAGGATTCTGACTCTATTGCCAAATCTATCCGCTAACCTACCAAAGGGCAATTGCTAAAACAATTTTCTGATAATTTATTACAACTAATATCAAACGAAACAAATATTACTTCATTAATATTTTATATAAGGTATAACATTGCAGAATCCATAAAATATGATAAAAATGTACCTTTTATATGATAAAAAACAGTGACCTAGGCTATACTTTTTGATTTTGCTGTAAGAATCTATTGCACATCATTTGGTACCAAAGGTAGATATACTCGCATATGAGTTCCTTAGGCCTCTATTTATAACTTAGTAATTATATTATTGTTTATTTATCTTCCATGTTGACAATTTTTTAGAATAGTATTGGAACAGTCACAAGTGAAGCTATGCTGAACCTGTTTAATATAATGATAATTATTTACTAGTTTGAGTTAAAAAATTTGCTAATGGCTTAAGTATACCTATACAAGTATTTAAAGTCCACAAGGAATCTACGTTCCTGTAGTTGGCTGTATACCATGTATTCAAAATTTAATTAAAAATCCTTTGTAATAGGTATAGTTTAGGCCCAAACGGGCTAAGTTAAAAAGACCAAACGTTTTCGGAAACCATGTTCCATCATCAGTGTCTAGGAGTACATGAATGAAGCCACCAAGATTAAATATGTGGGTAAAAACCCGATTACATATGTTTAATTACATTTGGTTTTAAAATAATGTTGTAATGATATAGGATTATAGAGTTACCGATGGATTAGGTAACATGGCGACATATGACTCCACGTTGAAGTTGCTAGTCCTGAGACGGTATGTCTTCGAGGACTGTATGAGTGCGACTGTATGAGTGCAAAGAGTTGCACTCATACAGTCCTCGAAGACATACCGTCTCAGGACTAGCAACTTCAACGTGGAGTCATATGTCGTCATGTTACCTAATCCATCGGTAACTCTATAATCCTATATCATTACAACATTATTTTAAAACCAAATGTAATTAAACATATGTAATCGGGTTTTTACCCACATATTTAATCTTGGTGGCTTCATTCATGTACTCCTAGACACTGATGATGGAACATGGTTTCCGAAAACGTTTTGTCTTTTTAACTTAGCCCGTTTGGGCCTAAAATATACCTATTACAAAGGATTTTTAATTAAAAAAAAAGTATTTAAAGAGTTTTCAATTTTTTTTTTAAACTATAAAACTGAACTAACTAAAAGTAATTTTTTTTAGAAACTATTGTAAACCAGTCATGACTAGTGTAAATATTGACACTATTTACAGTAACATTGCCCATATCCATATGTAGCTTTTTTCATCTATTCCCTTTAGATGAAGCACCCTTTCAATTGCTTCTTACCTGTTGTATGTTGTATTAGGTGTTGATGAATGCTTCTCATATATCCAGAAATGCATCCAACAGCACCTCTTAATATTTTATAACATACTCCACCCTCTGTATAAAATGGAGCTGGTCAGAGTTGCAATGAGTACACCATCCTTAAGGTGCAATTTTTCTAGGGTCTTCATTATGAATGACAGACTTATTTACCGCAGGGACTTAGCTATACATATGTCCAAAAGTTTGGAATATTGGAATATTTTTTTTTTATTGATTTTTATGTATAAACTTTTCTGAATAGTTAAACATCATTTTGTTTCAATTCTCAACAATACTAAATAAATCTCAAAACCAGATAAACAATATGCAAAAAAATTATTTATTCTCTTGGAGTGAAAAACTTACAATGTGCAACTTACATTTAAAAATAAATTAGTATAGAAAAAAATAAATTTTTAATAAAACTAATAATTAGTATTTCCTCCATTGGTCTGTATGCATGCCTGTATGTGATTTAGCATGCTGCCGATTAACTGGTCGAGCTGGGCTTGCGGAATTCTCTCCATTCTTCACAAGCAGCATCTTTTAGTTCTAGAAGTGTAGTAGGGGGATTGTTTTGCTTCTTAATGCGTATTTTAAGAATGTCCCAAGTATGTTTAATAACATTACTGTCGGGGGAATCGAGGGCCACTGTAATGTAGATATTCCTTCTTCTTCCAGAAAATTCTGTACTGCCTCTGTTTGATGAGGAGGTGCGTTGTCATGCATAAACACAAATTCATCACCTCTGCCCCTTGGAATAGACATACGACAGGATTTAAAACTTCCTCGATGTACACAGCACCAGTGACTCTTCTCTATAGAACCAGAAGTGGCCTTCATGTACCACTCATAATACCACTCCAAACCATAATACTGCCACCTTCGAAAGGGACACGCGGTTGGGCTGTTTCTAGCCGGGCTTGTCCTGGGGCCCTCCAAACCAGTGTTCTTCACGAATCAGATACCAAGCCAATTTTTGACTCATCAGAGAACATCACATTATTCCAGTTAGGATCATGATGCACCATTTCTCTAGCCCATTGAAACCTTACTATTTTGTGTTGGTAGGTTAGTTTAGGAACACGTAGCAGTCTTCTTCTATACAAATTTACCGCATTTAGTCTGTGTGTTATTGTTTGCCTTGAAATACTCAGTCCTTGAAGCCTAGAAATTTCTCTGGATATACCACTTGTAGATTCCAGACGATTTCTACGAGCTATCAATGTTATTTGCCGGTCTTGTGCTGCTGTTGTACATTGACTTCTACCACTTCTGGGACGATCCTTGACATCATTTGTATCTTGGATTTTTTTTTTAATTTTTGATACAGTACTCTGAGTAACATCAACAATATTCGCAATATAACTTCGTCTAAAGCCCTGTTGTAATAAAGCAATTTCTATAGATATGTTAAAATGAGATATCACGTTTCTAGGCATTTTTAACCAGCTCAATTTAAATTTAAACTAAGACTGAAATAATGAAGTAATGAAAAATATATATATTGATGATGATTATTTGATGATATATATATATATATATATATATATATATATATATATATATATATAATCATCAAATTGAAACATCAATAAAAAGTGAGTCAGATAACAAGAAAATAATGTGGGAGAGGGAGAGCTTCACTACTGAAAAGCCGAATCGGGAATACAAGCCAAAAAGAGACAAAAGTAATGGCCGAAACTTCAAGAAATGAAGGAGTTGTATCAGTTTGTTTCGATCTGTAAAAAACTACCTGCACCACCACTTACAATCAGCAAAGTATTTTATATGCGAGTATTATGGACATATAATTTCGGGATCCATAATTTGGGCAAGAAATGTGCTTCGATGTATATGTGGGATGAATCAGTTGAATGACGAATGAAGGATGAAATTTATTGTTGGTCTTAATCAAGATACATGACATCTTATTGCATTTATTGATTCTTAATCGGGAAAAAATAAGAACAAAAACATTGTGAAATTTTTTATGTACGTGGTTAAAGAAACTCAGCTAGAAATAATATACCACAAATTCATTGAACCGAGACATAGCTTCATGGAATGCGATGAAGATTTCAGAATCATTGAAAGTACCAAAAGCAAGTATCTTTTGTACCCAGTGAGTGAATGAATGCTGTGAGAAATAGTTCTGAGAAGTTTAAATGTGAAGAAATGAAGATGGAGCACATCATTTCACTCGAATACTTCAGGAATATATTAAAAATAGATAAAAGATAAGACTTAGCAGACACACTGGAGAGACATAAAATGGATTTGTTTTGAGAAGAAAGACCCATTTATTATGGAATTTAATTACGCTATTAATGAACAGACTGGATTTATAACTGTCACCTGTCCAGTTCATACACTACTCTTAAAAGTATGAAAAATGGAAGAATTTACAAGACCTACTATGCTTTGTGTCACCAATTTACCATAAATTTGTTCAATCAGCTCAATCATACTGTGAAGAAGGGAAAATAACGCCAGAAAAAGAAGCCAATGCAACCTGAAGAAAAGAAAGTGAAGGACAATGAAGATGATGTAGAGCTATACGACAATGATAAAATATTTTTGAGTGACTTTGATGCTGCGGAAGATATCTAGCTCAGTTGCTAGCAAGTTTATATAATATCATTTAGTTTTTATTTTTTATGCATTTTTTGTTCATGTATTTTTATGCAATGTAAATTTTGTTTTCTTATCTAATGTAGCTTCTTAAACAAATGCTCAAAAAATTTCGTGTATTTTTTTTATATTGTGTGTGTATTTATTTATTTACTGGTAAAAGCAATATTAACTTGTACCAAAAAAAAAACATGAAATATATATGATTTTAAAAATTGCACATGAAAACATTGGAACTTAATAATAATAATAATAATTTGATTAGATTTTAAAATTTTGTTTGGTCTTTTTGTGCCATTACTTACACTTTAAGTCTCATTTTCTCAAAATTATTTAAATGTCACTTGTACCACTTTTTCTCTCAGACCTCAATTATGACTCACTAATTCGGAAAAACACTTAATATCCCTCATACCTGGTTTATATTTTACTAACTTAATATTACTGTTTACAGGGGGTTGGCGATTTTGTTGGTCGGTGATTTGATTTTTGTCTCGACATTCGCTTTTTATTTCTTCAGAAATTTGAAATCCTAATATTTCCCCGCCTGTTGAGCAGACGCAAAATTTCCCGCATATGCAACAAATTTTCTTAAGTCAATACTTAGTTTCAAAACTGTTAGGATTACTTATAATTCATATATTTAAACTTTATTTTTACTTATTTTAAACATATCTACACGTTTTCTATTCATGATATTTATACAGAATCAGGTATGTCTTTAACCGAAAATCTCCCAAATTTTCAAATGAATGCTCGTACTTTCGTGCCATTCTGTTATCTTCGTTTATTAAATTTTCATAGTTTTTTAAAATTAAATGCATCTCCTTTTTTATCCTTTTCCGCAAATTAGTTCTCTTTCCTTTTCTTTATCTTGTTTACACAGGTTTACTGTGCATTTGGCACCCTCTTTGTCATATACTCCTGCAAATACCGTTGTTTCTAATTTATCCTCTCTATTTTCTTCTATGCTATTCTCTTTTCATGCATTCCATGTGTGGATGTCTTTATATATATATATATATATATATATATATATATATATATATATATATATATATATATATATATATATCTCCCTCATTGATTACTCCTTCCTTCTTCTGGGCTCGTCTATTTTTTGAGGAATGCCATGCTTTATTTCTTCTATCTTTTCCTTTACTTCTTCTTTTGGACCCATCTGTTTTGAGGAATTCCAGGTATTAATTTCTTTTAATTATTTTCCTTGCACCTTTTTCGACCTCTTTGTCCTTGTTTCGTTGCCACATTTATTTCTACCATTTTCTCGTTATCCACTTCATATGTATTCCTTTTATCATAATCCTTACCCTAATCGAATTTTTCCGTCAATTCTACCACTTCATCCTTGATTTTCATTGTTATATCTTTAAAGTGTTTTCCAATACAATAGAATGACTGCAAAACTTAATGAACAAAATAACGGAAACAAGTAGAAAATATGGACTGGATATAAATACCAGCAAAACCAAGCTAATGATCATCAGCAAGGAAAACATAACTGGAGCAAATCTGTATGTGAATCAAATGAGAATTGAACGTGTCTCACATTACAATTACTTGGGAACTATAATCAATAAGTCATGAGACAATACCCAAGAGATTAAATGTCGCATCGGAAGGGCAAAGAGGACATTCTTGACTATGAGTTCTGTGTTCAAGAGCCATTACCTCATCCTAGAAACAAAAATAAGGCTGCTTATAAGTTATGTGTACTCAGTGCTTCTGTACGGAGTAGAAATTGGACATTCAAGGCGGAAACTCTATCAAAATTTCAGGCTTTTGAGCTATGGTCATACAGAAGGATCTTGAAGATACCATGGACAGACAAAGTCACCAATGAAAAAGTAATGCGGAAGATGAACACAACTGCGGATTTGGTCAACATCGTGAAGAGCCGTAAGCTGCAGTACTTGGGCCATATAATGAGACATCAAGGCAGATACGAGCTACTTCAATGCATTTTACAAGGTAAAATTGAAGGAAAAAGGGCTCCAGGACGTAGAAGAAAATCCTGGTTTGTTAACCTGAGAGCATGGTATAGAAATACATTAACACAGCTATTTCGTATAGCAACCAACAAAGTCATCATAGCCAGAATGATCGCCAACGTTCGGAACGGACAGGCACCCTAAGAAGAAGATATTTTTAAAATCTATCATTACATGGTTTTCCGATAATTCTTCTACACCTACTATCATATCATGAGACATATATTTTACATTATCACAGATTGTAGTGAAAAAATTTTCTTTATCAATAGAACCCTAATTCGTATACCTTCATTTATCTTTGCGAATGTTCGTTTATTTGCACCCGCTCTATTCACCCGAGGTATTTTATATATTAAATTTGTCAAGTTAACTTCTTCCATCAATTTTCTCTTTACCAGTGAGAGTTCAGAGCCAGAGTCTATTAAAATTTTTATGGGTGTTTCATTTAAAAAATCCATTCACAAATTTTAAATTTTATCCTTTTTCTTTCTCCTAAGCCCTGCCAGTTTTATAAATTCCTTCTACTTGTGTTTCATTGACCTCTCTTCTTATTTCTCGTAGCTTTTCTGAGTTGTGTCTGTTGTCCCGATATCCTTATTCATTTTTTCTTCTGTAATTGTTATTTTCTTTAGAGTTTGTGTATGTATTTCTATTATGATTTTCCCTGTATCTATCTCTGTTACCTTCTTAGTTCCTGGATTCGTAATTATCTCTCCTATTTTTTATTTTCGTATTCTCTCCTCGGGATAAATATCTTTTTGGCGGTTCTTGACGATAATTATGTCCCCTATCTCTGTAGTCCAGCGTTTCTAGTGGTCTTCTAGTTTTTCTGTCTTGGAGATGCGATTCTCCTTTTTGTAAAAATTGACAAAAACTATCAACATCATTGTAATTTTGCAAAGTGATATGCTATTCTAACGTTTTCTCAAAATATCGGGCAATCAATTCTACCAATTGTTCCGATGAATAATTGTATTCCAAATGTTTGGCGTTGTTGTAGTCCTGTACTGCACAGGTTTTTTCTGGTATTTCCATCCTTTCATTGTATCTCTCGTTCTTTGATGTTGTTCTTTGTTAATTTCTAGTTGCTGGATTTTGCCCCAGAAATAATTTAAAAATCTTTTTTCAAAGTTTTCCCAACTAGTCATCTTCTTTACTGTCAAACCATAGGCTCGCTTCATCCTTGAGGTGGTTTCTTATATTTTCTTTACATGCTTCAAAATTTTTAACGTACTGTATTTTTTTTTTAATTCCTAATAAAAGGAAGTGGGTGCAATTTTCTCACATCCACGCTAAATTGGATTTTCTATGGATAACTGTACTATGGATAAGTATTGCTCTTCTGTCTACGAATTTTTGTTGATTTTTGTTTTCTGTGACTTGTTTTTCTATTTGTTTAATTCTTTTCTTGACTTTTTCCACGTCATCTTGAATAGCATTCTCCAAATTTATTTCCAGATTCTTTAGTTAATTTTTCTGGCAATCCTTTATCTCCTTTATTTCATTTTTAATTTCTTTAATCTCTGTCTCCTATTTTTCATTCTTTAGTATTATATTTTCCCACTGTTGTACCATTTCTCTCTTTATCCCCTTTACACATATTTTAATTTCCTGTTCATCATTTTCCAGAGGCTGCTCTATATTCCTGTTGTTTAGTTACATTACATAACTACTAACTACTACTAATATTATATTTCGATTACTATCTTATTTCAATATTGCATTTATAATATGTTTCAAACTTGCATCTTGGGATTTTTTTAATCAACCAAAGATAATTGAACTGAGATAATTTTTGTAGAGGAGAAGATCAGTGGAGGATGAACACATGATGAGGCAGTTTTTACAAGAAGGTGATCTTATAAGTGCAGAAGTACAAAATGTATTTTCAGATGGAGCTTTATCTTTACATACAAGAAGTTTGAAATATGGAAAGGTTAGTATTATTTTTAGCTTTTTTTAACGAACAATTCATTTTATTGTTGGGCTAAGTGATACAAAAAATATAAAATATAATTTTAACTTTATTATATTCTTTTAAAAATATCAAAGTTGATGACGACAGCCAGTCACTTCAGTAAAAAACCAAAAAAAGATACTCGAGAATATTATGTCTGAAAAACGTTAAATCATTTTATTTAGTTCTGATAAACAAGCGACGTATAATTGTCCATACTTGAAACACGGAAACTCCAAGTTGATTCCTTAAACTATAAACGATTGGCTTTGCGATTTGTTTATTGTCATTGCAAAATCCAAACCCATGGGAAATTGTAGACCCTTAAAATTAAATTGTAAGTCTGTTGGAATTATCGGTATACCCGGGATCAAGACATCCTCTCCTTTATATTCATTACCTGAATGACATTATTAATTAGCTTTTTCATAGTCAGTCTCTTTTCGATGAGGAACCAGACTTTAATTTTACGAAGTTGATTAATGTTACCCAGTATAATGACAACTGATCCTACTTTTAGACAATCCCAATGAATTCAAAACTTCTGTACGATAGTTGACTACGTCATTCTGGTTTGTAACTGGGTCAAGTGTTTTGAACGAAAACAATTTTATATATATATATATATATATATATCCCGTTTATAGCGTAATCCGCCTTTGGGTTCCCGTTCGCCAAGCCTGTCTATTCTGCCAGTCTTCTTCAAATAGATTTCTTGCTGACATGGCTTTTGAAATTCCTTGCATCCATGTTGTTGGTGGTCGTCCTCGTTTTCTTTTCTCTGGTGGTACCCATTCTAATATTTTTTTTGGTAGTCTTTCTTCCCCCATACGTCTAACATGTCCGTACCATGTCAGTTGTTGTTTTTCGATGTCTTCTATAATTGATCTTTGTACATTCATTTGATTTCTTATGTCCTCATTTCTCACATGTTCTAATCGAGACTTTCCCGCTGCTCTCCTCCAAAAATCCATTTCAACTGCCAAGAGGTTACCTTTAAGTTTTTGTGATAACTGCCATACTTCTGAGCCATACACGATTACTGGTTTCAATATTGTGTTATATATTCTTTTTTTCGTTTCCGGTCTTATATTTTTCTGCCATAGTACTGAATTCAATGCACCTATAACTCGTTTCCCTTTGGTTATTCTGTCTTTTATGGCTTCATCAGTTCTTCCTGTCTTTGTTAGTTTTACCCCAAATATATACATTGATCGCATTTCTTAATTTTCCCGTCTTCTAAGTCGAGGTCATCTGCAGTATTTTCTCCTCCTATGCAAAGATATTGCGTTTTTTGTAAATTTACTTCGAGGCCCCATTTTTTGTACTCTTCCATTAGTTTTCTAGCCATATACTCTAGGTCTTCCTTGTCTTGGGCAATAACTACCTGGTCATCTGCATAATGCAGCGTGTATAACGTTTCATCCCCAATAGACAGCCCCATCCCTTTACACTTCTTTTTCCATTGCCTGAGTGCTTCGTCGATATATATATTAAATAGTATGGGAGATAAACAACAACCTTGCTTCAGTCCTTTTGTTACCTGAAAACCATTAGTAACCTTATTTCCTATTTTAACTTTTGATATTGTGTTGTTATATAGATCTTTAATAGCGTCGATTAGTGAAACGCTGATACTGGTTTTCTCCAATACTTCCCACAATTTCGCAACAGGCACGGTGTCATATGCTTTTGTTAAATCGACTAAAAGTAAATGCACTTCTCGAGATCTCAGTGTTCTTTTCTCGAGTATTTGGGATAAGCAAAAAATACTATCTATTGTGGATCGTCCCGCTCTGAATCCGTTTTGTTCTTCTGATTCAAAAGGACGGTATTCTTCGCATATGCGTTCTTTTATAATTCTCCCATATAATCTGCTAAGCGTACTCGTAACAGTTATACCCCGATAGTTATTGCAATCTTCCTTATTTCCTTTTTTGTGGATAGATGTAATCCATCCTTCTTTCCAACTTTGTGGCACTGGTTCTCCGTGCAAGTGCCTATTGAAAACTTCTGTTAGTATCTCGAATAGTTTGTTGGTTCCATTTTTTATTAACTCTGCATATATCCCCTCTGGGCCCGGAGCACGTCCATTTTTCAACAATGATATAGCTTTTTTAGTTTCTTCGATGTTAATTGTTGGAGGCTCTCCTTGAATCAGGATTTCATGTTGTTCTATGTTTTTGAATTCCGGTCTTTCTTCTACTAACAGTGTTTTATAGTGTTGTTCCCATTTTTCGGGCTCTATGGAGTGTATGGCTATTTGTTCTGTTCTGTTGGATCTGATGTTTTTTATAAATCTCCAGGATTCTCTTGATTTGCGGCCGCCAATATACGTATCTAATTCCTGACATTTTCTCTCCCAGCTTTGATTTTTTGACTCTATTATCGTGGATTTAAATTTATTTAAAACGAAAACAATTTTCCGGGAAGAAAATTCTGAATGGTCGCATGAGGATTATCGATATCTATATTGTTTACCGCCGATAATACTCGTTGACTCAGGCAATTATGGTTGTTGAGCTGTCGCGCTATGTCTAGAAAAACACGCTAAGCAAGCTTCTTTTTCGAAATCTGTAAAGTAAAAGAAATATGTGGGAAATGTGATGAATCTGGTTGAGCTGTCAATAGCGACTTTACCATTTCCAATGTTTAAAAACTGCTTCGAAAACACAATTTCACTTTGATCTTATTGAAACACACTCGCATGTTAGTTGTCAATTGTCTTTAAGTACCGCCACACCTTGGATGATTTTAGGCATGCGTTTAGTTCGTCCGGGCGGTTGATCGTGGACTAATTGGAAGAGTCTAAAGAAGATCACCTGACAATAAATCATGGCTCCACCAAAAATATTTTGGTTGTCACGAGTATCTTTTAAAATTCTGTCCAGTTTCTTCAATAACCTCTTGTGGGTCAATGTATATTCGTCTTAAACGATTAATTTGCATACTTGTAAAATATTCGCCATTACGCTGTTCAGAATGTTCAGTTCGTTCGCCTTCTAATAAAGTTGCAGCTATTCCAAATGAAGTCAACGCTAGGGCTACTTCATTTTTCAATTTGATTCTCCCCAATAACAATGAAATTGATAATGTTTTCCATTCCTCCCCAAGCAAAAGGGAAGTAAATTCTACACTAACTATTAAACCATTTCACTAAAACTACAAACAATTGAAAATGGCAGTACTAAAAATTTCATAGTCGCAAAGGAAATTAATAACATATTCGTTTACTGTTAAATATTAATGGTGCGTTTATAAATTTTCTTAGAATGATGTTAATGGGACGTACAAAACTTTTTTACGAGCTACATAAAAAGCTAGAATCTTAATAATAAACTAAAATAAAAATAATATAAAATAGTAAATGACAGACCAAACAATTGAATGATCATACTACTGGTCTTTTTATATTTCATAGTCTAAGCTATCTTGCTTGCTTCATATATACAATACATACACTAATTCCCATCCTTAGAGTAGTGTGAACAACCTTTTGCTTAAATAATATAATACAAATATTGTAATGGATTCATTGAATCCTTTACAAATTAGTTCCAAGCGTTTGAACCTTTGACTGTGGAAATTATCTTTTCGTTGATCACCTGTGGCGGATTATCCAGCCATAATGTTAAACGTTTATTAATTATATATGAGGTTGAATGAATTTCACCTGTTTGTTCGTTCTAGACTGGTTAATGCGAGGAATTGCTGTTATATTACCAATTTCTTTCATTGGTTTGTCTCTTACAAGCGGGTTGTCATCCAAACTCATTTAAACTTTTAAATAGACCGCTCAATTATTTGGGGTGGTACTTCTACCTTGTTATTCTGTCAAATTTGTGACCTCAAGGTTGGCTGTCTTTTCACGGTTTAGTTTGGTCTGTTGCAATTAACGCCATTTTCCCGGCGGCAGCTGTAAGGCTTTGATCGGTAACTTCATTTACACTATTTTTAAAATAATTTTTTATTAAAATCACTTTAATAATGCTACCTAAAGTTAAAATCAAAGCTAAATAATTATCAAATAGTTGGAAGTAAATCTATGATTTTCTTGGTTCTTTTTCACTACTTAAGATAAAATAAAATATTACTTATACTTTAGACCACATGGTCAGTTGCTGTGCTAATTTTTTAATAAGTTGCTAAATGTTGTTAGTTAATTGATTGTTTATACAATACTACCGTGTAATGTCCATTTACTTGAGTTTTATTCACAAACTTGTTAATATCTTTGACTGTTACATGTCTTTTTAAGGTAACACTTATAACATATTTTCCATGATTGTGTGGTTCTCATATTGTACTTTTTAGATGAACTGATGATGCTTTCAGAATACGAAAGCGAAACGTCTTCAAAATAGATAAAGTAGCCTAATAACTTTGTCTTTTATTTCTCCACCTTGAGACTGATATAAGAACCCACCACTCGTCTGAGTGATCCTTATAATATATTGGATTGACGGTCGTACTCCTTTTCCGATATATATATATATATATATATATATATATATATATATATATATATATATATATATATATATATATATATATAAAATAAAGTTTTATTTTGAGGATGCAGTCATTTAAGTAGGGCAGGATAAGTAAAACTCTTTGTTCTTAAATCAAGCTTTCGCAAAATTTATTTGCTTCATCAGGATATGCTAAAATATGTTATGGTAAATACAATGAAATTAGAATTAAAAAAACATTGTATAAAACTATATAAAAACTTACAACATGAGGTTAAACCATTAAATTATTAAATTCACAAAACATTATTAATTTTTCCTAAATTATATTTTTATGCAAGTACAATATTTTAATTTTGAATATATTGTTGTATATTTATATAGTTCTAATTTATTTGTCTTTATTCTAATTTATTGTCTATATTCTAATTTATTAAAACTCACGATAACTAATTACTAATTTATTAAATAGCTGTACAAATGTATTTATGTCACGTTTCGTTACAA